ATACCCAGCTAAGGCCTCTCCCTTCCCAAACCCAGCCCTCCTTAGAGTTCACCACAAAATCTCTAGAAATCCCTCAGCCTGGCACTGGCAACTCTTGTGAGGCCTGGCCCCAAGGCTCCCTCCCTGAAAGGCCAAAATAGGCCTGAAAAGGGCCCTTCCTTCACCCTTTTACTGACAAAGCCAGTTAGAAGCCCCCTCCCCAAACATTCTAATCTCTCACCATTGATGCCTGAAGCAGATCCGTGCACAGGCCATTTCAAAAGGTTTTTGGGGGAATTCAGCCATCCCTGAAGGGATTTTTTTAGTTTTTGGATTTTTCTACAAACCCAGGAAGTCTACTGACTATGTAGGAAAAGCTGTTGGGAAGAGTGAGCCCCCTGTTGGTGGAAATAAGTATCTGCACACAAAAAACCCTCTGGAAAATAGTATAAGGATATAGATATATATAGATACACACACACACACATTTTGATAATATTTATTTTGAGGTTAGCTTGACCCTTTTAACATTGTCGGTATACTTTGGGTTCAGTTTGACTTTCCCTTTTTCATTCTTTGAAAGATGGCATGAACATATTTTAAATAAAAAAATAAATAAACTCTTGGGATGGGAGTTTCCCCTTTTCATACAACATCCTTTGATTCAAAAGCAGCCTATCTATGGTTGTGTACACAAAAACACGCTTTTCCCATGTTACATCAATCAGTCTTCTAGCAGATTTAAATCTGTCAGTATCCGCCCCCGCAATGTGCAAGATGATCTCACTAGTCTATTAACTAATGAAGAAGATTATCTATCAGTTTTGTCACAGAACATTTGGTAATACACAGTGTATTCGTACATCGGCGGCAGCATCTAAACAGATGGTACCTGAAGTGATTATTTCTGTGAGTAATGCCTGATGATCAAAAGGAACATTTCGTCAAATTCACGATTTACCTACTTTTTGCCTGAAAAGGATTCAGATTCACACGAAACCTATTCGCAGAGGCGAAGTGATGGTTAAAAGAAATCCCCTCCATATCCTACATAGAATAAGATGTCATGCTGAGAGGAATAACATCTCTCTAACATCAAATGAGAAACAATTTGTCAGCTGAAGAGTATTGTGTTCTATGAAAACTTATGTATGTAGGTACTTGAAGACCCAGCCAACCAAATCCTGCATATTTGTAAAGATATTTTTTAAAAATTAATATAATGATATTTTTAAAAAGAGACACGTTTTTAAAGCAAACCTGTAAAAGAATTCAAGCAAAAATTATTAAAAATTAAGCTGATGATGGTGGCCTTGATCCAGGTCTAGGGCCTGCAAAAATGCTTATGCATCTCAAGACAGTGCTGTGGTCCACTGCCTCTAATGATGAAGGTTCCATCTGACTTGGTATAGTTAATATCTGCAGACAGATTTATCTTCCATGTGTTTGTCTAAGACTTTAAAAATATCTAAGCCAGTGGCCTTCAGCACACAAACAGAATCCTTCTTTACTCCATGAGTAATTAAATTGTGTGATTTACTGCCCATAGATGTAGTGAGGGCCACAAGCATAGAGGATTTTAAAAGGAAATTAGTGCAGATTCATGGAGCGACAGATCCATCAATAGCCATAGGTCATGGTGAACCCTCTATCCCTCCTTGGAGACTGCCCACTTCAGACCTGCTGTTTCTAATCTGTGTTGTTGCTTCTTACTTGCCTGTTTGAAAGGGAGCAGTGAGCAGATCAAAGAGAAGAAGCAGTTACTACTGAGTGTCTCACAGGCTGAGTTTAGACTGGCAGTTTGGCCCGATATAGGCACATTTCACAAATGGATTAAAGGGGCCGGTTCACACAGCCACAGCTGTCAGGCGTTCCCCAGCCACACTCAACACGTCCTATGATGATTCCCTACCGAATTTTAAAAAGTACCAGGTGAAAGGGGTAGCAAAACCCTGGAGGCCGCGTTGATCCTGCTTCCCGGAAGTGTGCATGCTAAAAGCCGCAAAGAAGCCGCATTGCTGTGCCTATGTGCATAGGCGTGTGTCGCCGGAGTGAAAAACAGCCACTTACAGCCACGCCTCTGCCAGGGGCAGGCCAACAGTGTGAACGCTCCCTTGCGCCTCCTCCCCGGTATGCTCCCACATCAGTAGGCGTAGTGCAACCGGGAATCCCCGGCACAACTTGGTCCGGGACTTTTTGCCCCGCCTCCCTCGCACTTCATACTGCCAGAGTCTGTCCTCAGCCACACACTCTCTGAATGGTAGAAAGAGAGGATATATTAGTGGGCAGCAGCAAGACAATGCACCTTCTCAAGGAGGGGAAATGCATTGAAACCATCAGGCAGAATTGTTCTCCAACACCTGGACCTCACAACATGTTGCTAGTATCGCACAATGACTTTCAGACAAGACCTTCAGGCCTTGCTGCTGTTATACCATAGACTGTCAAATTCGTATGCTTCATGTTTTGGGTTTTCTATGGTCAGTCTCTTTTGCATGCAGAAAGTCCCAGGTCTAATTACTGGCATCTCCCATTAAAAGGATCAGGTAGTAGGTAGCATAGAGAAAGCTCTACCTGCCAATCAGAGTTCACAGCACTGATTTATTTATTTATTTCTACAGGTTTGACTCAGTATAGGACAGCTGCGTGTAGCCTCATCATCCCTCTTGGGTTGCTGATATTTAATAGTATAAGCTGATATAAATCTGAGAACTGCTTATGCCATCTTTCCTTGATGGATACTAGGGTTTCCCGATCCCCCCATGACACCGACAGGACATGGGGTTTAGGGCTGCCAGATTCAGGTCGGAAAACTGGGGATTTGGGGGTGGAGCCTGGGGAGGACAGGGACTTCAGTGGGATACAATGCCATACAGTCCACTCTCCAAAGCATCCATTTTCCCCAGAGAAGCTGATCTCTGTAGTCTGGAGATGAGCTGTAACTCTGGGGGATCCCCATGACCAATGCTCCCTCTAAGCTGTGGAGTCCTGTGAGCAAAAATTCTACTTTGTGAGCGACTGGTGCTAAAGTTGTGGGTGAGTGATTTGGCTACTGCATAAATTAGTTTGCTCTGGAGCCATCCTTCTGTCAGGTAGCCCTGTCATGGATCTGGAATGTGGAGGGGTGCATTCCTCCTTGTTCTCAGCTCTTCCCTGTCCGGCTACTGTGTGCTATCTCTGGCTTGACCTTGTAGTCTCCAGCTGCATTTACTCTGCTGAGAAAGTAACGGCTTTCCGCTGTGCCCGCTTGCTTGTTTTTGCCGCGCGCACGAACTATAGTCATTGGCTTCAGCTCAATGGGAGGGATGTTTGATTTCACTATAAGTCAGAGGCCTTTGTACTGATGGCCATTCCTGACACAAGCTGTATACTTGTTCTTTATTACTGGAATCACTAATAAAGCAGTTATCTTCTTCTGAAGCCCTGTGTGGTGTGACCTGCCTAAGGTCCCTGACACCTTCCTGAGCTAAGACAAAAATCTGTGAGCTGGAGGCTAAAAAACTGTGAGCTAGCTCACACTAACCCAGTTTAGAGGGAACACTGCCCATGACCCACCTGATGGCTGGCATCTCTACTGGATACCTGTGATTACACAGAATGTGCCATAGTTTACATTAACTCCAGATGATCATTCAGAATTTTGGTTTGCCTAAACAAATGTTAGCTTCACACCATCACTCTATGGCCAGGGAGGATGGTGTGGGGAAAGAAACCAGGAATAAACTAGGATGTCTATATTCAAAAATCAAATATAACTACAGCTTCTAACCATGGTTTCATAAGCCGGTTTCATGGCTCCTAACCAGAGGTCATTTTGGGGGGGGAACACTGTTCCCCCGGGTGAGGTACCGGGGGGCGGGGCACATGACGAAGCCCCTCCCCCTGCTTCTGGCCGCCCCGCTTCCGGCCCTCATTCAGCCAGTAGGAGGCAGGAGAAGAGGGAGGGTAAGTTGCTTCCTCCCTGCCTCTCCCCATCCCTGCATGCCTGGGGCCAGGGAGGGCCTTCGCGGGGCTTCCTTGCACTCCTGCTGGCCTTGCAGGTCCACCGCCGGGCCCCTCATGGGGCTCGGCAGTGGAGCTGCAAGGCCAGTGGTGGCGGCCGGGACCATTGGGTGCGGGGTGTGTGGCCTTATGACACATTTCCGGTGATGTCAGGGGGTGTGGCATTATGACACACTTCCGGTGATGTCAGGGGGTGTGGCATATGCTAATGAGTTATGCTAATGAGTTCCCCTAGCTCTTTTTCTACGAAATGACCCCTGCTCCTAACTAACCATATTTACTGAAGTGGCCTGAGGCCCATTTAGTTTTGAGCAATGTTTGAACTGAGCCAATGAGTAATGGATCCACTTCTTATATTAGACCACTCAGTGTTGAATTGTTTGTGATATTCTTGGTCCCCTTTGGAAAATGTACAAAGAATGTCCTTTTTTTCTATGTTCTTTTAGAGAGTCCATTGTTGGTTCCCTAAAGGTGCACTGGAGTGAGTCTGAAATCATTATAAAGGGAAACCTGTAATTAATTCAAATTGTGATTTAATTGTGGAGAAGAACCAGCATGTTCCATGTATCCCTACCTCCAATCTTAAACTTCTTTGTTAGGAGGAAAGTCCCACTGAACTTTAGTAGGACATACTTTCAAAGGAATTCTTCTCACTTCCCAATTTGATTCTCCTGGAACTGAGATCACTGGTGCTTTTGCTCAGCCCATTTCCAGGGAGTGCTGACAGAGGATGTTCTTTCCAAGCAGATTGCAGTCAGATACTAAACAACCAACAGAATCAGAATAAGCCTGAAGAGAGAATGTGAAACACGTACAAAACTGTATCGTACATAAATTAATAGATAACCTTCTCATTTAAGTGATGTTGGATGTCTTTCTGGAAGGACTTCTGGATTTAATTTTACACAAACGGTTCTTACGCTTAAAAACCCTGAAATTGAAATTAAAATTTAGTAGCAGCAAAGTGACCTTGTATTAACCAATTTACTGTACATACATACATTTACCACAAAAATTACCTGTCATCTCCAGGACTTCTGGAAAAAATATATCCCAGAATCGACACTGCTGGGCACGTAATTTCCTACGAATCTTTGAAGCTTCTGTGCTTAATGTTAAGTATTTTTGTTCAGTGCGGGTGAAGACTGGCCATCTTGTCCCATTAATCTGAGTCCCATTGGGTGTTCTAAAGGATTAAAGAGACGCATTAGATCCCTCATGGGAAATTACTGGTGAACATCAGTAGTGTAAAATTATTCTGTTGAAAAGTTATTTTATTTCAAAGACGGGTAGGTTTGCATGGAATTACCTCAGTAGTTTGGAAAGTAGGTAGGAATAAATATCAACAGCTTAAACTTTAAATGGGACCATAGCACAAAGTTTAATTAAAAATACAGCAATACGCAGTGGATTTTTAAAGGCTCTAAGAGGAGAAAACACACGCACACACACCCCTTAATAAGATCAACTTTCATCAATTCCGTGTGATGAACTCATGAGGTCAGGGAGAAAATGTAGTCTTGTGGATAACATTCAGTCACTTGGATTGCCCAAAGTACTTAATAAGAATGCTAATGCGTAATTCAAATATGCAAGAATATTGTATTGATTTTTTAGACAGACAGCCTTGCAAAGGTGTACACTCATGTTAGTGAAACAAATCAAAAGCATATCCCAATTAAAAATATGCTGAAAGAAGTATCGGGTTCCTAATAGGGAAAAAATAAATCAATTGGTAGTGGGAAACAGTGTGATGTCGTGGGCAGTTGCATTGCTGTCAAGAAAATCAACTAGTTAAAGCTGTCCTGATTCACATGTGTGGGTTCATCATGTTGATGACCCAAATACATGGATGGGTTCCAGTGGCACTGAGAAATGTCCTGGTTGAGAGCTATGTGACCCCTTCTGTGGATTATAGAATTCTAGACTGTAACATTTAGGATTTCAGATAAACAAGAAAGAGGACCCGCGAAACTCACGGGGGGAGGAGCTGGGGAGCTCCACACTGAAAAGGCGGCGGCGGAAGAAACAGAAGCAGAAGTTCCCCGTCTCCTCCACCACCCCTCTCAACTACCTCCCCCCAGCCTCTTCCCCCCCCGCTCCGAGCAACCTCGAAGTGTGGCCTGCGCCGGTCTCCCTCCCTCCCGTTGCCACCGCTGGGCCTCACCTGTCGGTCATTCCTGTCCGCCCGCACTGAAGCGGGAACATCTGGTAAGGCTCGCCGCTCTCCCCCGTCCAAAGCGCCGGTTCCCCCTCCCGCTCCAGTTTCCCCCCCCCAGCCTGGCTGGTCTCTCCCTGCCTGGCCGCCTTCCCAGCCTTGTCCTGGCCTCCCGTCGCGTGTTGCCGCCCGTCGTTTGCAGAGCGTTCCCTGCGCATGCGCAGGGAACGCTCTGTAACTTTTGGGGGGATTTAAATATCCCCCGATATGTTTTCAAAGTTTTTCGATTTTTGTGCACACGTGGGGACCGCCCCACAAGTGCACAAACCTCTCCCTGCCCCCCAGGTGGCCCCAGAGCACGGATTTAGATATCCGCACGCACGGGGCCACTTCAGTATTAGTATATAGATAGGATCTGATTTTGGTGTGGATCTTACCACTGCTCCACTAAGCAAAGTTTGAAGATTTCCTGCAACCTAAGGAGACTTAATCCAATGGAACAGCCACACATGTTGGAGGAATGAAATGATACAACCCTGAAATGGTAGAATAGGGAGTACCACTTCAGGTGGACAGAGTAATATTTGCAATGTTCTGAAATATATATATTTTGGGTTAGGGTTAGCCCCATTTGGTGTAGTGGTTAAGAGTGCAGACTCTACTTTGGGAGAAACGGATTTGATTCCCCACTCCTCCACATGCAGCTGCTGGTGTGACCTTGGGTCAGTCACAAGTTCTCTCAGAGCTGTTCTCTCACAAGCAGTCCTTGAAAGAGCTTTCTCAGCGCCACCTACCTCACAGGGTGTCTGTTGAGGGGAGGGGAAGGGAAAGAAGATTGTAAGCCACTCTGAGACTCTGAGCAAAGGGTACGGTATAAATCCAATCTCCTCCTCCTCCTCCTCTTTTTCTGTTTGAATACTGTGCTGTTTTTCAGTTTACAAAGAATTATAAACAGAGAGAAACTTGGAACACTGAAATCGCTCACTTGCAGTCTGAAGTAGTACAGTTGATTCTATTATTACCTCGATATTCTCCTACCCTATTGTTCTGCTGGTGTAGACCAGAACTTAGTAATGTCTGAAAGGCTGGAATCACAAGGCTAGTTTGTATGGAGCCTTTCCACCTAATCATTGCCTGGACAGGAAGGGAGAAAAACAATTGGATAGAAAGGACCACAGGGCCCCTTTGATTCTGGCCCTTTGAAGGGTACATGGAATTCCACACTGGTAACATATGAAGAAAGAGGCTGATTTCTCACTAGAGGTGCCTCGATGTTGCGCCGCCGTTTGCCCTGATACTATTGGTCAATTTCATACCTGAAGCTGCGGGGCTGCATTTTGACTCGTGGCTCCGCCCGATTTCCCCCGCAGTTTCGTGATCCTGTTTTTTGAGCTCTAGTGCGAAATCAGCCAGAGTGTTAACAACTTGAGGTTCAGCAAAGACTAATCCTACTAAATTAGTAAAGGATCTGTCCTATAAACCAATCCTGTGTATGTCTCCTCAGAAGCAAGTCCCACTGAGACTTCCTCATGGGAATATATGCCTAAAACTGAAGTCTTAAACTCTTGCCTGCCTCTATTATTTCACACTCTTCCTCCAAGGGGCTCAGTGTTGATACACTGTTCTCCCCAAAATCACTGTGGGACCTTCATAGATTAATGGGAATTTGAACCTGGGTCTCCCGGATTCTAGTCTGTCCTTCTACACTGGCTCTCACATTCACTCTTCCGGCAACGTCATGTGTGTATGAATAGGAATGACATAGCCCTGACCTGGATAACCCAGGCTAGCCCAACCACATCAGATCTCAGAAGCTAAACAGGGTCAGCCCTGGTTAGTACTCAGATGGAAGACCACCAAGGAAGTCCAGGAAACTCTACAGGGTCACTGTAAATTAGCTGCGACTTGACAGCCCTTTCCAGAAATGACATAACCACTTTTCTTCAACTCTAGAAATCCTTTCCTCCCGACATTTCCAAGTGCCTAAGATTTATGGTATTCTTAATACTCTGCTTTGGAGGATAGAAATTAATTGCTGTATATCAGTATAAATCTAGCATCTTCATTTCGGTATACAACAATGAGAGGAAGGATTAGAGTTCAATTTATTTTATTTCCTTCTTTTTAAAAACATCAGCTTCTTTTCTGGGCAAGACTCTGAATCATAGTGAAATGATCAAAATCACAAGGCAGATTTTACAAAGCAAAGCCCTGCCTTTGGGAGAAGTGTGCTTTCTTCTAGATGTTTATACAGTGTTCTAACTAGTATTTAAAAGGGACAAGGAGGCGGAAAGGAGAAACAGTAGAAGTCCTGCAAATGTCAAGATAATATGAACCATTTGGTGTCTTCACCAGGATTTCCATCCAGGATAACCAGCCATGAAAATCTTGACTCTGTGGGGATTTAGGGCTGTTTACAATAGTAGAAGCAGAGGTCAAGACTGGCCATTTGAGGAAAGATCAGAGAACTGCAATTGTTTACTTCAGGGTGTTTCCCCCCTGTTCTTCAGTGGCATGATTGTTAATGAATGCTACATTTAGCAGCTGAATGGCCTCAATAAAAGGGAATTGGCTCTGAGGTTCACCTTAAGCTGAGGAAAATTCTCAGTAGCCGGGACACAGTTTGAGACAAATAGTTTGATTTGTACAAGGGCTGGAATTGTCGTATCACGATTCTGCAACAACAAAGATGCTGCAGCTAAATGTTTTAAAGGAGTAAACAACCAGCCAATGCTAAAACAAAAAGAACACCAGCTGTTCTTGCTACAGGCCACTGGCTGGATGCCTAGAATATCTCAGCTCTGTGTAGTGACTACCCAGATGTCGCCGTGGAAAGTAACTTTTCCATTTCAGCTGCTACTGCATTTTGTGATGGCTCCAATAACTGGGGAGAGCTCTGAATACAGATTTGCATATTTTGCCCCCAGTCTATTTCAAACTGAGCTCAAACACCTTCAGAGATAAGACACAATTAGAAATGGACATC